CCTTTAGTCTGCTCGCAAGTGTGCCAAGAAAAAATAATTCATTTTTTGGGCCCACTCTTTCCACAGTCATCCTTACCATCCTTTCGAATAGTGGCAGGTTAATTGAGTCTTCATCAAAGAACGGAATAATGCTTGCCATATGACTGAGCGTGGGCAAAATGTTTAGTTGTGCGTTCTGCGTTCTGCGTGGGTGGTTATGATAGTGTGTAGCGTGTGTATCTTCTGTACATTGAGGCGTGGTAGGTGCTATATCACTCCGTAGTCTATCTCTATTTGTATCTAAATCGGCCCAATTCGCCCAAGCTATTAGTTAGTAATGGTACCGTTACCCCAAACGCGGCTTCTTTCATTTTTTAAATTTCCTCTTTCATATCTTTTATTCTGTCTCACAGCTGTAGATTATGTACGTCTCCTACCCCGAGATTCCTTGAACCTTTATAGTCGTCACAGGATGCAACGGAAGTCGGCCACTCCAGTTTCCCTGGCATGCCTCATTGCGTTAGTAGTAAGTTTGTTTTGTCTGTTCAAGCTCCGCATATTTCTTCAGGTCTCCTCGCATTTCGCTCGCTGACTTGTCCGCCAGAAAGAGTACCCGCTTCTTTGTTCATGCGTCCTATGTTTACGTCTGTGTCACCAGATATTTTCCTGTGATCCCTACCTATCGGTGGCGAATTTTGAATGGTCTCTGTGACCACCTCATGAAGGACATTCACCTCCTCCACTTTCTTTAGCTTCGCTCTAATTTTTGAAAATAAGCCCATCACTATTGCTTTAGTCTTTTCGTCTAGGGCATCTCGTTTTTCACACCCTTCTGGTTCAAGCTCTATTCTTACATTTGTTCTGTCATACTTTCTCTTTGTTGCTTTTCAATAGGCCCTGGCCTGCTCATTTTGGTTATCATATTATCACCCAGGCCCTCGTTATCGCTTTCTAACTCATGGGTCATATCGCTAATATAAATTATTTTTCTTTCCTACTTTTTTTTATATACGTGTATCGTGAGTCGTATCTTCCTTTTTGATTATACTAGATCTTACGTCTTCTTATACAGTTGCGGGGCTGCGTTCAATTATCTATGTCACAGCTTAATAATAATCGGACGAGAGGAAAAAAAAAATTGTAGAAGTTAAGGTAAGAGAGTACAAGAGCGATATTCGTCTCTCACTTAGTTTCTTTTATTTTACCCTGTATTATCGTTTAGTGGTGACTAAGGAAAAAATTTTTTGGAAAACCTGTCGTCTATTGTCGTTAAAAAAAATGATAATAAATTTTTCAGCCGATATACATGTGAGTAGTAATTTTCAGATGCTTCCTGTGCCTTACCAAGCCAACTAATAAAATCTCTCTGATTTACGTTCGTTGTGCAAAAATTTTCCTAGTCCATTGCTTATTTAAGTCTGATATTTCGCGTGATTTTTGTTTCGGATAAGGTTTTACACTAAAAAAAAGAGCGAACGAATTAATAAATATGTATGTAAATCAATAATAAAGATTTCCCACGACCTGATCTTCACCTAGTGAGTGCTTTCTCTATCTTACCTCGGGGGTGAGGAATAAAATTAATTTTATTATAAATGTACTAATGTGCTCGTAGATATGCATGCTAATAGTAATAAAATTTTGGCAACCATTTCCCTTTAGAGCTCACCGCTTATTTCCTTTATCCTGGGATTATCTACAATTGGTATCCTGGTCTTGTTGGCTTCCAGGCTGTTGTCACCGCTGCTTATCGAATATGATCAAAACTATCGTCTTTGATCAGCTCCTCGGTTTCGCGGTTTTCAATCGTCGTATTCTTACGGCACTTCTCTATGTGTGCTCCTCGGCAAAATTTTTTTTTAAATGTGTGCAATGAAAGAAAAAAATTTCCGACTCTTACCAGACCCCACACTTAGCACCAAAACTGTTGCGTGGGAAAGAGATTGGTAAGGAGGTGCGTCGCGAAAATGAACACTTGTTATATAGAAGACTATGACGGAGTCATTTTTCTCTGACCCTATAGCATTAAGCGCCGAAACGCGTCATCAAGCTGGAATCTATTTTGATTTAAAAGAAGCTAATAAAGGTCCGGGTCTGTGTGTTTCATGTTCTACGTAAGAGTAATCGGATACAAGGAGTAGCGCCAAGGAGAGAAGAGAAGACATAGCGCCGAAGAAAAGCCCAAGAATGTGTAGTTTTGCGTATTATATAATATTTGTAATCACCGCGCCATTGTCCTAATTCAGTACTGCTTTATCGACGAAGATTGTATGTATACCTATGTATCTGTATTAAGAGTATGTACTGTAAATTGCGTCGCGTTCGAGTGTGTGTGAATGATGTCCTGGCGGTAAGATTCAGAAGTGTGTATGTAGATATAGTGCGGTAATGCGCGAGGCTGCACTAATTGGTGGGCCTAACGCGACACTCTTGCAGTAGCCTTCGAACGAACCAGAGCTTTCCGAGTTTTCGCGTTTCCGGTAGCACAGATCGAGAGAGAGAGAATCAAGAGAGAGAGAGCGAGGGAGAAGAGCGGAAAATCAGTTTCCAAGCCAGCCGGAAACGACCTTACGACCGACGACCAAGGAGACGCGGACCATCGCCACCCCCAGCTGTCATCTGCGAGACCAGGGCATCGACAGGCCAAGAGCTGATTTGACCCGGAACATGGTGAACCTGGAGGTAAGGTTAAAGTAGAGTGTGCGAGCGTGTGTGTGTCCTTACGTCTGTGTTCGCCAAAAATGAAGTGAAGTGTTCTTAAAATCATTAACTCGTGGTGGTCGTGCATGTGTTTTTCCCTCCTTCAGATTTTACAGGTCGCGCCTCGTTTCTCCTTGGGAGAGTAGTCCGATCCCGACGGACTACCGCCGGCAGGACCTCCTCAGAGACGAGTCTCCTGGGCCAAGCAGCGGACATCGTGAGCGTGGGGACAGGGGTTGTTTTTCGCGTTTCAGGATACGGCGGACTTTGGCGAGATTATTGGCGATAGTGTCTTTGGACGTTGTCTCGGGACCACCCTGGCTGCGACACTCTATAGTGTCTCAGGGCGCAAAAGTGCAACGTCACAAGACCTTTATTCAAGTCACCGTAATCATAGGCAAAGTAGCGCGTATATTTCCCTTGAGGGCTAGTGCTGAGCTCTTAATTCCCGAATGCGCGAATGCGATTGTCCGACTCTCCGACTGCTCAACTCCTCGACTGTTTGACTCCCTGACTGGTTGACTGCCTGACTGCCACGATTTAAGGCTCGTGGGGCCGTATATTAAGCTTGTTCTCCACCTGTCGATGCCTTTTTGATAAAGAAGCCTCGCTGTTACTAGGGAGAGTCAGTGTGATATGCCTTGCATATCGTACGTGACACTATGTGATAAACGTCCTTCAATCAAAAATCACCCTAATTACAACGGAAACATTGTGAAAAAAAAAAACGCCATAAAAATCAATTATTGTATTAAATACATTCGGTAGAGATAGC